CCTACATCTGGCATCTCTCCCCTTGCTATCTCTCCCCAGATCCCCCCCCCCCACCGTCCCTCCCCTATTTCCCCTCAACACGCCCCAGTGTGTAGTGCTCCCCTCCCTGTGTCCATGTGTTCTCATTGTTCAACACCCGCCTATGAGTGAGAACATGCGGTGTTTGATCTTCTGCTCTTCTGTCAGTTTGCTGAGAATGATGGTTTCCAGGTTCATCCATGTCCCTACAAAGGACCCAAACTCATCGTTTTTGATGGCTGCATAATATTCCATGGTGTATATGTGCCACATTTTCCCTATCCAGTCTATCGTCGATGGGCATTTGGGTTGGTTCCAGGTCTTTGCTATTGTAAACAGTGCTGCAATGAACATTCGTGAAAGGCACACATTCTTATTTGGAGCTCCCTATCCTCTAGAAGCTTCTCCTGTCACATGTATGGATGGTGTCTGGAAAGCTCTGAGGATGGGACACACCTTTTCAGATTTTCCAGAAGGGCAACACATTGTTACTATTGGCAATGTATTGTAATAGTAAAAGCAAATGTAATTAGCCATGGTAATTGTGAAACACAAGTCATGCCTCTATTTATTCTGTGATAGTAAACAAATTCAAAACTTCAGCACTTTGGGAGGCCAAAGCAGGAGGATTGCTTGAGGCCAGGAGATTGAGACCAGCCTGGGCAACATGAGATCCCATCTCTATAAAAAATAAAAAATTAGCCAGCTGTGGTGGCATGTGCCTATAGTTCCAGCTGTTTGGGAGGCTGAGGTTGGAGGGTCCCTGAGTCTGGGAAGTCAAGGCTGCAGTGAGCCGTGATTGCACCACTGCACTCCAGCCAGAGCAACAGACCGAGGCCCTGTCTCTAAAAAAATGAAAAATCCAATTTGCATCTAGATAGCACAAAAAACGCACTTCAATTGAATTCAAGAAATCTACGCCCTGCTCTCTCCCCATGCTTTTTGTCGTGCTATGCCTTTGCTCGTTCAGGGTAAAGGAAAATCTACAGGTTCTTGATTGTGGAAACCTGTAAGTAAGCAGCCTCTAGGATCCACACAGAAAGCTACTTTTCATTTCCAAATAGGCCGCACTTAGTGCCCTGGCTAAGACTAAAATGTGGGCAACAAATTCATCCCAAGTACCAAACTAAGATTACTATGGGACGGGGAATATTTTCAGAGACAGAATGTTTCCTACCTTTTCCATTAGTGAATTCAGTCTATTCTGTGGTCGTGTTCATGAACATTTAGGTGTGGGGGCTGGGTGAGGAAGGGCGGCCACTCAGCCTTCCCTGAGAAAACAGCACAGAGGGGTTACCTAATTCCACTGTGGGAGTTTTATCTGCCTCCTGGATGGTTCAGTGTAGGTCCATGTCTAGACTGATTACAAAAGCACCAACAAAACAAAGTCAATACCTAACATCTTACAGAAAAGGCACGAAACCGAATAGTAGGGGTGAGGAGAACAATGCCTCTGTTGTGACAGGAAGTCTTCGTGAGGATGATGGAATTCCCACACCCCAGGTTCTAATTTGTAAGGGCAACATTAAACGGCTCGAAGCAGGCCCTGGCTTGAACACATTAATTTAGAAGACAATGTGTTTGGTTAGATAAGGGAATTTTTTTTTTTTTTTTTTTTTTTTTTACACTGCCACCAGGATCAAAATGAAGATCAGTATAACTCCGTCTGCATGGGCACAGATTTCAGAAAACAGCTTTTACCCTCATTCACCAATACAACCATTTGTTAATTCTGCTCCTTCCAAGTGACCAGGTATGTGCAATGTGATTGAAAAGGCTCTGGTTGGCTCAGTCCTGACTTGCACTCACTGTGCTATGACTTTAAGCAAGTGTCTTAACCTCTCTGAGCCTCAATTTCTACATGTGTAAAATGAAGGGGTTGAGGTTGCTAATCTATTGTTGTGAGTTGAAGACTCTACCAAAGCAAAATAAATGTAACAATCCCATTGCCTAATGATGCTGACAACCAGAGACTTTTACCCAAAAAGAAAGCTGTGATATCATATCCAAAGTAGCTCTTAAATATGTCATTCCAAACTGAAGCTGCAATTGAGTGATGGCCCGTTCTAGAACTCTAAGTCGAATCACCTCTGAAACTCTAAGGTCAGTGTATAACTAGGTGGCAAGTATGTTACGTAATTGAAGGTCCATTTGTTTAGCCAGTAGTTTCAGGCGGCCTGAGGTAGAACATTTTGAATGCTTGTATGTTCATTCCCTCAATGTTCATCTCCTCAAATATCTATTGAACGCCTACTATGCACCAGGTTCTGCAGACAAGACGTTTCTCCTGGAATCCTATGCCTTCTCCTCCCTCCCAATCCCTGACTTTCCCCCTTTCCCTTTCTTCTTTGCTTGTGGTTTTGTTTGTGACCTCAGAGGCAAAGGATTGAGTGAAAGGTACTTCTTGGTTCATGGTATGGTATCACAGTTGGTCCACATGAGGCTTGGTTTGTTTCATTCATTCATTTATTCCCAAAGCCCACTGCCATTTCCCTGCCTGCAAAGGTACCCATTCTAATGCTGTAAATATATACCTTTTAGTATGCCTGTAGTTTTGTAAAATATACATTGTCTTCTGTGCACACACACACACACATATATGTATTTTTTAGACAGTTTCGATCTGATACCCAGGCTGGAGTGCAGTGATGCAATCTCAGCTCACTGCAACCTCTGCTTCTCGGATTCAAGTGCTTCTCCTGCCTCAGCCTCCCGAGTAGCTGGGACTGCAGGTGCCCACCACTACACCCAGCTAATTTTTATACTTTTAGTAGAGACGGGGTTACACTATGTTGGCCAGGCTGGTCTCCAACTCCTGACCTCAAGTGATCTACCTGCTTCAGCCTCCCAAAGTGCTGGGATTACAGGGATGAGCCATGGCGCCTGGCCTGTGCTTATATTTTAATTAATTCAAATGGTGAGATGCTATATAGCCTATGCAGTTTCTTGCTTTTTTTTTCTTTTTTACCCATACTAGGGTTTTAAGATCCATGCATGCTGCTGGGGGTACATATGGTCCATTGCTTTTCACTGCTGCATAATACTCCATGGTGTGCATTCTCACGCTGTACCTCTCCCGTATCCCCCGGTGTCCTGCAGTTCTTCACCACGGCAAGTATTCCAGCAGTAACCTGCCTTGTGTGTGGCTCACTATGGACCTGTGTCATATTGTTCTGCCTAAAACACTCTTCTCCCTTTGTCTTTGTTTGTTTGTTTTTTGAGACAGAGTCTCACTCTGTTGTCCAGCCTGAAGTGCAGTGGCGCAATCTCGGCTCACTGCAACCTCCACTTTCTGGGTTCAAAGGATCCTCCTGCCTCAGCCTCCCAAGTAGCTGGGATTACAGGTGTGCACGACCATGCCCAGCTAATTTTTGTAGTTTTGGTAGAGATGGAGTTTTCACCATGTTGTCCAAGCAGGTCTAGAACTCCTGGCCTCAAGTGATCTGCCTGCCTCGGCCTCCCAAAGTGGTGGGATTACAGGCATGTGCCACCAAGCCCAGCTAATATTTGTATTTTTAGTAGAGATGGGGTTTTGCCATGTTGGCCAGGCTGGTGTCAAACTCCTGACCTCAGGTGATCTGCCTGCCTTTTACCCCCAAAGTGCTGGGATTACAGGCATGAGCCACTGCGCCTGGCCCTAAGCTCTATTTTTCTATTTTGTAAAATGTGAATCTTTCAAAGTCAATACATTATTTTCTAAATATATAAAAGTGAATAAAATGCTATGAGCTTATTTGGTTGGTTCCTTGGCAAACCTAGAAGACCTTCTACATCCAAACTAGTACTGTGACTTTCCAAGATGCCCCCTTAGAGGGAAATCATTACACCAGGGACAGTGTCCTCAACTTTTCTGGAACTTTTCATTGGAAAAAAGAGAAACCTCCATAGCCCATAGCACATTCTTTGGAATCTTCCCAGAGTGGGGGAGGGAAAGGGCTTTGTTTCTTGAAGGCAGATTTGATTTTTGGAAACAGCTAAAAGCTACTTGGCAGCAAGTGTAGTGAATGAGGTGGGTGATCAAACTGAATAATATTATTTTTGGTTCCAAACAAGGTGTGATTATAAAGAAATGAGGCTGATTTTGTTGTATGGCACATAAACTGGCTCAACAGCAATTCCAATAGAGGACTTCCAAAAATGCTGTGGTCTTGGCAAGAAAAAAATATTTCTCCACCCCAGTACACACACACACACACACACACACATACACGGCATCTGACTCAATCTATAGACAAGGAAAATCAAAAGCCCTTGGAATGTATTTTAAAAACCAATTGTGCAAGTATTGGATGGAAGAGATCTGGCTGGGCAGCCATTCTTGCAAAAAGCTGTCAGGGTTGTAGTTAGCCAGAACATGGAATTATCACACACTAACGAGTGTGATGTGGCTGCTCAGCAGGCATCTGCATCCTAGGGTTGCTCTGGCAGAGGTCCCAGGCCTCTGCGGGAACAGAGACACCCACTGGCTACTCTGTTCAGGCTCTCCCTGCCATGGGCTCAGCTACAGGCCTGGCAGCACAAGAGGACCACTGGCCCACTGGAGCCCGGCTCATGAAGGAGCTTGTCAACACTGTTTGATGTGTTTGGAAAAGCAGGCAACCCAGAGGAGGTTAAGTGTCAGTGACTGAAAGTTATTGCGAAAAGGGAGCTGTGTGAAAACTAGTGCCCTCTTAGTCTCTGTTTTTGTTTGTATAAATGTAAGGGGTACAAGTGCAGTGTTGATTCATGGATGTATTGTGTAGTGAAGTCTGGGCTTTCAGTGTAACCATCACCCAAACAGTATACATTGTACCCATAAATAATTTCTCACCCCTTACTCCCTCCCATCCTCTCACCTTTCCCGGTCTCCAGTGTGTATTATTCCATTCTCTGTGTTCACGTATACTTGTTATTTAGCTCCCACTTATAAGTGAGGACATGCAGTATTTAACTTTCTGAGTTGTTTTACTTAAAGAATGGCCTCCAGTTCCATCAGTGTTGCTAAAAATATGAAACACTTCACAAATTTGCATGTCATTCATGTGCAGGGGCCATACTAATCTCTGTATCATTTGATTTTAGTATATATGCTGTCCAACTGAGCACGGCCATCTGAATCTCAGGATGCTCTTTATGGAAGAGCCAGAACCACAGGAGGAAATAATAGGAAGGCAGGTTTAGGCTCACCCTAGTAAAGACTGATTCATATTATAGAATTGTATGTTCAATACAATTTCTTGTGTGTCAATATACATATACAGACGGGAGTAAAAGACTTGAAAAATATAAATATTTAATAGTGGATTTCTATGTGGTATGGAATTATGGGGCAAACATCATTTTCTAAATTTTACATAATGATGTGTTGTTAGCTTTTCTATTATCTGTATTTCTTTTGTAATAATGTTTTTCCTTTAAGGAATGGATTTGCTAAGAATTTGAGGTATCTAACAACCAAATAGCCTACTTTGTGACCTAGTGAGAGCCCTGCCTTAGGAGGTAATCAAGCAAATATTGTGGAATGAACTATCAGGTACCTTCTAGCCTAGGGACTCAGTGTCTGTTATGTTAGGAATTAACCTTATTTAAGTACAGCTAGTGCTCGACTTGACCACGGTCGGGACCGTGGACCGGTCGTAACACGATTTGATCGTAAGTTGAGTAGGCTATGTGTACAGTTGAAATGGTGCACGCGGAGATGGCAGTGCTGCTGGAAGCTGGTCCGCACTGTCGTACGCCCAGCTGGGCAACGTTTGCGCTGCCAGACGCGGAGCAGTCGTGGCTAGCGATTGTGGTCGTAAAGTCGAATGGTTGTAAGTTGCATAGGTGGTAAGTCGATCAATACCTGTACCAGAGTTGAGTTGGTGGAAGTTCACACATGCATCCGATGAGGAAGAGGCCTTCCAACACAATGGGGCAACTTCCCAGCTCCCAGGCTCTTCTAAGAAAAAATACTCATCTTAACATAATTCAAGTCTAGAAACTTTAAATCAAAGGCTAGAATCAGGCCAAGTGCAGTGGCTCACACCAGTAATCCCAGCACTTTGAAAGGCCAAGGCGGGTGGATCATTTGAGGTCAGGAGTTCGAGACCAGCCTAGGCAACGTAGTGAAATCCCTTCTTTACAAAAAATAGAAAAATTAGCCAGGCATGGTGATGTGTGCCTGTAGTCCCAGCTACTCGGGAGGCTAAGGCATGAGAGTTGCTGGAACCTAGGAGATGGAGGCTGCAGTGAACCAAGATTGTGCCACTGTACTGCAGCCTTGGTGACTAAGGGAGGCTCTGTCTAAAAAAAATAAATAAAAGGGTAGAATAGAGCCGGGCGCAGTGGCTCACGCCTGTAATCCTAGCTCTTTGGGAGGCCGAGGTGGGTGGACCACAAGGTCAGGAGCTCAAGACCATCCTGGCCAACATGGTGAAACCCCATCTCTATTAAAAAGAAAAATAAATAAATAAAAATGAAAGGGTAGAATCAAGACGTCAAAGATGAAAAGCCACTAACTAGGTATGAATCTCAATTCCGAACTAGAGCAATTAAAAATTACATAGAGGGACAGGAAAAGGCAGGGACAAAAAGCTAAAAGAGACAGTCTTTGATACATAGTGCCAAGAGGATATGATAGATTTTCCATGTTTTATACATGTGTATGGTTATCCAGTTTAATCTCATCCACGTAGCTGAAGCCAGCTGGTCATGGACGTGGCAGGGGAGTTGTCTTCCTGTCCTGATCGCTCAGGCTGCATGGCCCATAGCTACAGACAGAGTACCAGGACAGCAGAAACACTGGCTGCCTGAGGTCATGTTCCGGAGCCTGAAGCATGTCAAATACAACCTTATGCTGGAAAAGTTCTGAGAGGCCTTGGAGGTACAGCACATTCATGCCACCAGCTGGGCAGAGGGACCAGCATTTACTGCCTTTTGGGTCCAATGGTGCCACACAATCTGAGTAACAAAGAGGTTAGAAATTTTGTCCTCATCTTCCATTTGACAATAGGGAAACAGGTCTAGGGAGAGGAGGCGGATGAGAAGGGTGTGCGAAAACTGACAATCTCCTTCCCCTCCCAGAGAGGAGAAATGGACTTTAAGACAGTCCTCTCCCGCTTGCAGGAGCAAAGCTTGGTCTCTGAGCCACAAATTATTTTTTGCCACATCAAATAACATTTCCATGGAATGACAGGGAAAGCTATTAGGTGATAACTGGACTTTAAATCCTTTTTCTGGGCTGGTGTTACTATATTAGACTCTGAATCCAAGCAGCAATCCTTTGCAATGTGTAGGTTTCATAAACCAAAGCCCAAAGTCTCTTACAAAGTCCATTCAAATACACGAAGAATGATTGTTTAAAAATAAAGACAACTGGCTTCTTTCCCCTTCAAGTCTTACCCACCGTTACAAATCACTGAGATCATATTAACACATTACAACTGATTGTAGTCTTATCTTCGCTAAAACCAACTGAAGGAAATGCTAAACCAAACATTTCCAATTTGCGTTTGTGAGCGTTTCTGCAAAGGACGAAGATGGATATTGGAAAATTGAGCTCTGCAGGAGACTGACGGAAGTGTGTTGGTGACAGCAGGAGAGGGGGTACAATAAGTTGTGAGAAATTACACCTTCTGCTTCCCGCATGGTGACCTCCTGCCATGGGACCGAAATCGGAGAGCCTGACTGGGACCACCTCACAGAATCAAAGGGGACTTCCCCGTCCATTCCTTGACCTTTGCTCACACCCCTTCCATGCATCTCACCCTCTCTTTCTCATATGTATCAGGTGGGAGTTGAGTTTTCACCCTTTAGAAAGAATTAACAATTTCTCTATTGACCTGACCTGGCAACAGAGCAATGTGCTAAGCATTATACACATTACAAAAATGGAGGGTGGTTATCCCTGGGATCCCTTGGCAGCAGAATGTCTGAGTATCGACACAAAAGTAAATGCCATTATTATTACAATGTTGTATGTATAAAAAATTTTTTTTGAGACAGAGTTTTGCTCTGTCACCCAGTCTGGAGTTCAATGGCATGATCTTGGCTCACTGCAACCTCCTGCCTCAGCCTCCTGAGTAGCCGGGATTACAGGTGCCTGCCACCATGCCTGGCTAATTTTTGTATTTTTAGTAGAGACAGGGTTTCACCATGTTGGCCAGGCTGGTCTGAAATTCCTGACTTCAAGTGATCTTCCCACCTTAGCCTCCCAAAGCGCTGGGATTACAGGCATGAGCCACCGCACCTGGCAAAAAACAGATTTCGAGTTTTAATACTGGGCCATGGTTGATGAAAAGCCAGTGTTGTAATTAGTACTGGTGCCAGAATCTCAGTTCCATGAGAGCAGGGCTCAGTTCTGTTTTGTTTTCCACTGTCTCCAGCATCTGGTACAGTACCTGAAACCCAACAGGTACACAAAACCTACTTGTTGAATAAATGAATGTTGAAGAAGCTCACCTGAGGGCAAGAGTGAGAGTTGTTTTGGGTTTGCTGATGATAACTTCTGCAACCTGACCCAGAGCAATGGCTGCCCATGCCATGCGGCAGCCCCTGTGGAGAAAGGCAACTCAGCAAATCTGAGACAGCAGCAAAGAAGCTGGGGAGTGATTTCTTTGCACTGTTTGGGCTTTCCTATCTTGAGTTGGGAGAAGGAAAAAGATAAATGGAGCTACTGTACCTGATTTACACAGAGGATTCCTATTTGGCAAAGCATTTTTAGCAAAGTAAAAGCTGTAAAGAGAGACTGGACCAGGGAACTCTTTTGAGATACCTTTGGTTTCATAGACAAGATACTCCAACCCAAGGTTTGGAAATGGAGATTGTGGACTGGGAGGGAGTGGCTCTAATTGGTGCCTGGAGTCAGAATTGATTTCCACCCAGAAGGAAGACAGGGAGGTGGGTTTCAAGTATCCTGTTGGAGCCTGATGAGAATATATTGGATAGATAGTTTAGCGAGAAGGAAAAAAGGCATTGCACAGTCACCATAGATGATGGTTTGCAAAAAAGAGCCAATACATTTTTATTTGAGCAATTTATTTTTTTTTTCCAAAGAAATACATGCAAAGAGAAAGAGAGAAAGAAAGGGAGAGAGTGAGACTGAAAGACATGGTAACCATGTTCTAGCAGCCAAACATAGGAAAATAATTTGGCACAACTTGATGTTTTTTTTTTTTTTCTTTGCAAAAGGACAATCTATATACTACCACTAAAATTTAAAACCTTCCTCCAAAACACACCATTTGATTTTCAAAAACATAACACAAGGTTAGTCCTCTACTTAATGGCTGGAGGAGGCATACAGGATAAAAAAATAGAAAAAAATAAAGTGGTTCCCTTTATCGAGGAAGACCACAGGGTGCTGTAAGGCAGCACATGTGCTGGGCACCAGGCAGTCAGTGCACCAGGAAGAAGAAGCACACCACCGAGATGGCCATGCTAGTGAGAAGCTTCAGTGGGTAATGAGCATTCCCGAGGTTGTGAGAGGTGCTTATCTCCTTGTCCTTCGGAATCACCTGCTGCTTGCTTCCAGGAGCATCATCCACATCCAGATCATAGGCCAGTTCTGTCAATCAAAAGAGAAGGATTTGAAATGCAAGTCTACCCATAGCCTCAGTATAACACTACCCACAGCTTGAGCATGTGTCTAGACTGCTGGAAAGCCTCAACTTTGATTCCCCTTTTATGGGAGAGGAAAAGGCCACTGTGAGATGGGAAAAAGAAGGATGTGTGTGTTGGGGAGGGGTGGAAGGAGGTAGCCAGAAGTGCTCCTTCCAGAGAGCACAGCAAGGGGGAGTGGGAAACGAACAGGCTTCACCCCACTTTTCCTTGGCTGCACCCACACTGCAGGATGCACACTGGCCCTTTGCAACATCTCCTCCCAGGCAAGGTTTTGCTTGAAGGGCATTTTCACCAATCTTATGGGTATCAAAACATAAGATGCCATGTGGTTGACTATACCATGTGGGTGTGTTCTTGTATGTATGTGTGCTGGTCAGGAAGAGGGTGCTGTGGGTTCCCAGTGTACCTTTCTTAGGCCCTGAACCTTATACACATTTCCTTATTCTGGGAGCTTTCCTTTAATTAGGGTTGAGGATAGGTAGTTTGCTGTTGAAAGTTGTTTT